TCACCACTGAGATAGCAAAATTCAATTTTGCCTGTATGACTAAGAAGCCCTGAGCCATCTTTAATAGGAAAGTTTAGCTTTAACCTTGGCGCGTGGAGAGGATATTTGCACTAGACCCCTCGTTGACTTAGTGTGGGAAGACACAGAGGTCATGGGGATGCTCTCAGGGCTGCAGGTGGGTGAAGCTGGAGCAGACACTGCTCTGGCCTCTTCTGCAGGGTGGCTTCACAGGGAGCTGCTGTGCACCAGCACCACGGGCAGGGAGGGGAAATGCAGCCCTTTCACTACTCTCCATGACTTTTGAGGATCTTGGATTCACCCTGTCATTATTGCTGCCTGAAGTAGACATAGCAACAATCTTTTGTCACCTGGCCAGTTTATGAGTGCTTAAGTCACCCTCCAGCTCATCCTCTCAGTACTAATCCTGTAGGAATTCAGGCTTTTTCAGCTGATACGGTTTAGTGAGCTCACTGCATGACCCTAAAAAAGAACAGGAAGAAAACCCCAAGCTGTGTGAAGCAAAAAATTAAACATAACAGGATTTTAAATGATAGGGGGGAAATGTCATTAGGCACAGGTAATTTGACATTGTGGATCAGATGATGTTGAGAATGTTTAATGAGCAAGTGCTGAGACAATAAGAGTTAATGAACTGACTAACCTGCTGGTTTCAGTAGGATGGCATTCAAGCACAGAAAAGTGAAAATCAGTAAAGAAGGTGTCTTACATGTTTCTCACTGGCTGTCAGGGTGTTGCTAACTTCAGACTACAGTAATTAGCTTCAGTTTTGCTAGAGGGTACCAATCAGGATCACAGTATTATGGTGTAACAAGTGATGTTTTAAAATGTTCTTACAAAGTCTTTATTAAGGTTCAAAGTAATTGAAGCCCAGTTCAAAGAGCCATAACTTTTTCTGTAATTTAGGTGAGATTCAACCACATAAAAATAAAGAATCTAAATTTGAAGTGCAGAAATTACAACACATAGATTTTAGTAAGGCTATCACCTTATGCTAGTCCCTGGGAAATATGTGTTTCTTGCTAGGTGCTGCACATCACTGCATGCCACTCTCTAGGCATGCAGTTTTATTGCATGTTGCCCCTTCCAGTTGCCAGGTAGCTTTTCTAGTGTGGATGCTACATGTGCTGAAATCCATTTGAAAGTCTACAGAAATCGTTACAGAGTTTATAATGTCCAGGCTAACATCTTTCACAAAGCATTATCAAGTTTCTACTTTTATATATTCTGATGAACACAGGGTAAGGGAAGGATAATTTGAGACTCTCGTAACTGTTTCCAAAGGTGATCAGTCCAATGGATTGTATAAATTGAAAAAACAGACAAAATCAGGAGTGGGAACTGGAAGAATGGAGATAGTGCAATTTCCTTCAAAGACTTGCAGAAATTATTACCTCTACCTTCAAAAATGAATGAAGGACCATTCAGGTCTCCTGATGTCAGCTATCTTCCCTTCATTAACTGCACTGCCACAAAATAAGATGACAAGGAGTCCAGTAGCAATTTGCCATCTGTCCTCTCAGATTTTGACTGCAGTTGTGGACAGTGATGACCAAAGAAGCCTCCATCCCCCTCCCACTGTGCCAAGGAAACCCAACTCCATTAGAAGGGCTACTTGGCCAGTACTGTCTGAACAGCAAGTAACTTAAAGCAGCTTCTATGGAGGAAAAACCACACCAATCCAAACAACATGATGCAGTGTCTGGTCTCATTTGCTATTTTGAAGCTTCTCCAACATCTCAGATTACACTGTGAAGCCATTTTTCTTTCCTCCTTTATAGCAGAAAGGGTTTGTAATGGGAGCTTCCTTGTTTTTGTGTTCAAAACACAAAAGTGTTCTGTGTTTCCAAAATGAAGTGACAAAAATTGGTGAAGTTCCATGAAGCATTTCAATCCCACCCATCATTTTACAGAGAGGTACTGCACAACTCTGTTGAAAAGAGTATTAATGTAGTTTGCTGTGAAGCATTTAAAACAGTGTCCAAAAAACTCTCCTAAGCAGGGAGAAGCCCTGCAGGATGTCTCCTGCCCCACCTTTTACCAATTTCACCTGGGGCCACAGAGAGTGACAAACCTTCTAAAATCAGAACCTTTCCTCTAGTGATAGATGAGTCAATCCAACAATGACTAAAACCTCAAAACACTGCTATAAACCGAGCCTCAGCAGGCAGTAAAGCTTTTATAGCTGAGGAGCAATGGTAGGATTTATGATTCAAACACTAATGGAACCTTAAATATAGTGATCCAAGCAGGAATTACTTAGTTCATATGTAGCCCTCTTTCAGGCTCTAAATACTTCAAATAACAGAAAGAATACTATGAAAACAGCGTGGGCCATCTTCACTCAGGGTTTGTCTTCACAGTACAAGTCACATTTGAGTCAGTGCTCTCAGAACAAGCTCTTTGAGTGAAAGATCACACTTCATAATAATTCTTGGCTTTCAGAATATGCTTGCAGTGTCCTGCATGCCAACCTGTGATGGCTCTGGCAGCTGAATCATGCTGCCAGCAGCACAGCTGGTTTAAAAGTCTGCTGTCCCCCCCAGCTCTGCTGCTTTGAGTGCTCAGTGCTCTCTGTCCTGCGTCTGTGATGTGCACTGATGGCAGAGTTCCTTCCTGCTGCTCCTGAAATAGTTCCCATGCCTGTGATGTGGGCTCAGGCCCTCCCAGCACATCCCTTGTGGCACAGCATCAGCTTAAGCACCAACAACGCTCCAGCTTCAGTACAATCTCTTTCTGGCTGCTGAAAAGGTCTTTTTGAAACATCACTAATTTAAAGCTGGGGCCACTCATGTGTAGAAAGAGATCACACTGGGAATAAAATGAGAGTTTAACTCAGGATTTAACCATGCAGGAATACATGCCATTCAGCTAATAGTCCTGAAACAGGCTTCCCACAACATAATGGATTCTGAATTGCTCTGCACTTCTGAGTAGCCAGTTATGCCTGTGCAGAGAAGCCACTCAGTAGGGGTGCTCTCAGCTTTGTTCAGGTGCTGAGCCAGGATGTTGCATTATATCCTGGAACTTGTCATGTTCAGCTGGGACAGCACACAGAGTTTTGAGAAAATGGTACTGAACTTTGGAGGATAAGTTATCATTGGCAGTATTTCCATCTCGTGTAAAATTACCTATGATTAATAGAATCATGTAGGTTTTACACACCATGAACTGGCAACCCTTCTCGATAGACTTTAGTTCATGGTGATATTAATGATCTCTTAAAGATTGTTTCTTCATGAATGAATGAAAGATCCCATAAAAACGAGTTTTGTAGTGCTCTAAGATTATAAGCATGTTGTTGAGAGGAGTTCCAAATTAATGTTTATGTGGCTAGAGAATAACAGCTACTAGTGCAAGTTAATTACTGCTTTGCCTGGCTGACATCTTCAGCAATGGCTTCACCATGCAGATTCAGTGGAGCTTAATAATGGATTTCTGAAACCAAATGGTTAGAGACCTGTTTTCCCAGGATGCCATTTAAATGAGTTGTTCACTTGAGATAGTTTTGAAAAAGGTTCATGGAGGTTATGAAGCACAAAATAGAGAGGAAAAGTGCTGAATGACTAGCTGTGGTCTGTGATTATTTATATTTTTCATTTCACTTTTTGTTTTAAAGCAGGGTAGGAGTGTGCATGAAGGCAGACTTTATTCATGCACATTGCCATCTTTATTTAAAATCTTTCTACTTGTAAGTTTTACATTTACTTGTGATTATGCACAGCCTAGTTACAGTGTCATACATTTACTGATGCTGCTCCTCAAAAGGTTTCTCTTGCTTGAAAAATGCCACTGTCCCTTGCAAGGTATTTGATTTTACATGCTGTGTAACTTCCTACTATTGTGCTGATCTAAGATGGCTGCAATGAAAGGTCTCTCAGGAGTTCTTTTTGGTTAGTAGTTCACAAAACAAGAGCAGAAGAGGAAAAATATTGACCTTTAGTAAAGTGTGCTGTTAAAAAAGAGGGGTTTTATTCTATGAAATGGGATTCAACATTTTTGGCCAATTTTTTGGCATTTAGGAATGACATTTAAGTTCAAGAGTGACAGATTTAAGTTCAGAGGTCTAGATATATGAACAACTCTGGCAGTTGAGGCTGTACAGGTGACTGAATTTCCTACAACACTTTCTCAGACTGTAAAAGGAGCTTTGACTGGTGTTGGGACAGGGATTGTGTGCTTAGATTGGAAAATGGGGAATATTGATCACATACATAGTATATTCCAGTAGCTTCACACAACCCAGGTGGATGCTGATATGGTACCTCCACAGAAAAAGGTCACTGATATTTTCCTGTGTCTGAGCAGTAAATAATTAAAGTCTACAACTTTAGCATTAAGGTGCCTACTGTGTGACCTGAACTTACATCAAACAATCACAGGAGTCCCCGGGAAAGGCCTTCAAAGAATAATAATATTCTGCCCTGACAACAGTTTTCTGGTAAAGCTGATGTAAGACTTTTTGTATAGTTCTACTGACACAGGTGGTGCTTCTTACCTGTTACAAAGCTCATGTCACTTCAGCCTCAACACAGCTCATGTGATTTTAGCCTCAACACACCTCATCTGAGCTTTGTCCCACTTTGCTCATTACTTTTTCTACTGCCTGTGTATGTCTGGTGGATAAGGTTAATTAGTGAGAGGGCTGCTCCTAAGAAAGGTGATACAGGCAGTCCCTACTGTAATCTGCCTTGCCTGTAGAGATTCTTTATTAAAGAACGTGCCCCAGGGAAGAGTCTGGCAGAAGGATACCCCCAGGAAACAATTTGGCTGATTGTGATAATATGAAGTTGAAATTAAAAAGTACCTGTGAAAGCTTCTGTTCCAATAAGTGAGTGGCAGTTATTCCCATTGCTTTGAAAGGTACTTTAGCACAACTGGCTATTTTATAATAGTCAAATACCCTTAATGGTATTATTTTATCTGTGTGGTACTAAAATGTGGTTTGGTTTTTTTCTTCTTCCTCTCCTACTTCCCTCCAGGATGAAAAGAATCAAGTACTAACAACAAATATTTGGCTACAAATGGTAAGTTTTGAAACAAAGTATGTTTGTTTTTCCTCTTCGGTCTTGGAGTTTAATCTGGTGAAGGGTTTGAATTTTGGAAAACTTTCAGGTCTGTTAGGAAATATAAATTGACTCCTAATTCCATGTCAGATTTTCTTTGGTGCCACTAGATACCACAGCAGAGAACTTTGTCCTCATTAACTCATGGCCAGCATTGCTGGGCAGGAGTCAATTTTTCCTCACTTTTTAATAAATGGAACAGACAATAGACAATTCAAGAACTTTGTGAGAGTATTTTGAAATCGTTTTCTCTGAACAGCTCCATTATGACTCAGAATTAAAAAGGTGCTTCTTAGCAGACTGACTCCTGTGGAGTCCTAATGCATCCACAGACATTTCCACCAAAGCTTTGTCTTAAGCTCTGCAAAGACAGGGTGACGTGGAGTTTTCTCCATCTCTAGCAGCATGAATGAGAATTTGCCATTAGTTAAATTCCCATCAGTATTACACAAACTGAACTGTTTGGGTTAAGTAAAGGAAGTTACAGAAGATATCTATTATTCCAGACAATCACACAGCAGAAACTTCACACCTTTCAGTTTCTTTCACCAGCTCATTCAGTTTAAAGGCATTATTCTTTCTTTTACTGCAACATTTTAGATAGAGCACCTCACTTGCACTGGGGTAGGCCTTGGGAAACAAATGAAAGACTGTTCTGGTGCCCTGCAAAGATACCATGGCTATTCATTATTCACAAAGAAAATCTGACATGGAAGAAGCACTCAAATCATGCTTTTTTTACAGGCCTGTTGTACAGCAAGATTAAAACTGTCAAATATAATATGTTTTTGGCTTTTAGCTACAAAAACGATAGTTGCTATGATATCTTACCTGTAAAAGAGACAACAATTCATACTCTAGAGGCTGTAATTTATTTTCCTTCTCTTTTATCTCACAGCATCCTTATCCCTTTTGAGTTTGTTTGTTTTTCCCCTTAGGAAATTTTTTATTATATTATACATTCTGTATTTCTTTTGATTTATTCACCTTAGCACATACTGGATATGAAGCACATTAAGACTGCAATGAACAGATCACTTGGTTACTACAAAAAAATGTAGCCACTCTTCATGGCTTGTGTACACATGAAAATAAAAGTGTTTGCATATTAACTGTCTATTAATGGTATTCTAGACAGGTTCAAAGCATGCTTAAGGCAAACATACGTCATTTTATTTTATACTAAATGATCTGAAATAAGTTTTTTCCCTGAAATCCCTCTCCACTGCATTTCATGATATACATGTGTAATCAGAAATGTATCTTAAATATACTTTATGTAATTATCCCCAAAATACTTAAATACAAAAAGTAACTTGAGAGAAAGGGGAATATAATCTAGTATTTATACAAGCAAACTATTTCATCCAACCTCTGGTCAGTCCATGGCAATACTGTTCAGCATCAAAAATCTCAAACTTAATCTAAGAATCTAAAACTTAATCTAAGTTATAGCAGGAGCCTCACTTAATCACACAGATTGGAACTAACTAAAGCACCCTGAGCTCTTTGCTATTGTAATCCAAATTAAACGTGCTTAGCTCCTTTACCGGTAGCTCTAAAGTTAAAGCAAAATGAAGCAGATCCTGCCCTGCTGGCTGGGTGAGCACTTTGTCCACAGGGCTAACCGAGCACCCATAAAATCTGCTTAACGTTATCTCCAATGCAGGCTTGAATATTAAGTTTTCTTGTGCCCTTGGACTGTCTTTACGTCACTCAGCATCACCCTGCGCTGCAGTGTAGTGGCCATGGTAACTCCTAACGTAAGTTGGGATAGGAAATGATTGGATCTGTTGATATCCAGGATGCTTTCAGCTGGCAGTGAATGCAGCCTGCCAGTCCTGCCCCTGCCATCATGACTGTGAGTGACCTGCTCTGGCAGCTCCTGAGAACGAGTCACCCAAAGCCACAAGAGCTGTGGCTTTCAGTGCCTTAAACCCACACAGCTCATTTGCTTACATTGCTGGGAAAAACAGATGTATCCTGGCATATCAGGACTTCTATTTTACACAAAGATGAAGTGGTAAAAAAATCACAGTGACATTTGTCAACCAGAAAGTTCATGTAAAACAGTTTACTGGGAAAATGCATGTAAAATTTCTGAAAAATATGAGAAGCAGTTGCTCAGCTTACAGAAGCTGTGTATGGATGGCTGTGAGCAACACACGTATCTTAAGTAGAGAACTGTGAAAACAAAAAATATGAACAGAGCCAAATAATTGAAGACTTCTGTTAAAAACTATTATCTGTAAAGCTAAAGGAGAAGATAGTGCACAACTCAGATCTTTTGTCTGGTTTTGCTCCAAACTCTTTGTAAAAAATGAATGAGATAAATATAGAAACACAAGCCAAGAATAAGTATAGTAAACACTCCACAAAAGCTGCCTGATGAATGCTTTTGGCTATGTTGAATGCATCAAAATGGTCATTTATGTTGTTGTAATGGTACAAGAATGTATTTGAATACCTGCAGCATGAGGCTAACTGGAGACTTGGTGTATCAAACCAAAACTTGCCTGTGACAATAATGCAAGGAATTACATAGACCAGTTTGATGTGAATACCCCATGAGAACCATCAATAACATTTACCTCTACAATACCCACTGGCAATTTTTCCTGACCTTAATGTCTATCATTTTGACAAAGACCACTAGAATGAAGGGGTAAGTGTTGTACATTTACTCACACATTTAGAAGTTTACATTTAAGAAATTAACATTTGGTATTGCAACAGCTTGGTAAATCTGGACAGGTCCTCACTGTATGCTATGTGATGCCTACAGCCAAGTGAAGTTAATGTAAACAGCATAATAAGGGAGATACAAAGAAATGCATTATAATGAAGCATAGACAGAAGAGAAAATTCTGTAAATTTTGTAAAATTAATTGAACACTATTCCTTATGCCCTTGGTGCACAACAGAAATTGTCCTAGTATCATGACAAGTCATTTGCGTAGTACGGAGTGATGTACAATCTCAATTTCAGGAAAATACAGGAGCTCCTGCTGCTATTTCCCTGCAGCACAGGAGGTAAGCAGCTTGCTGGGGTTACCCCAGTGCTCAGCTGGCTGCAGTCTGAGGCTCTGCTCTTGTTTCTGGCTGTGCACCACCATATGTTTCAATGGCAGAGTGTGGGATTTAGCAGTGCTGAGCTCAGATCAAAGCCCCACTGGTGCAACTGTGCCAGTCTGCCTGTGCTGAGAGAAGCACAGACAGCTCCAGGGCAGCCACCTCCAACACAGGAAGTGCCAGCCAGGGAGGAAATTTGAGGGACCAAGCAGTGCTCCCGAGCAGCTGCCTCAGAGTTTGCCCAACACCAGGCCCCAGGAGCTGCCAAGACCTTCTGCTGACATTGACCTTGTGCCATCAGTCATCTTCTGCCAGCAGTGAATGCTGGCTGCTCTACCCCATGGCACTTAGCAAGGTACTACAACCTGAACATTTCCAATCACAGAAAATAACATTGTCTATGAAGATAAAGATAATGGAAGTTACTGTATTAATTATAAAAGCAGTTAAATCCCAAATTGGCACCTGAAACAGTGTGAACAATAAAACACAAGCACCCCAAATCTCTTCTAGGCTGTTACGTGCACTGCAGTGTGAATTGAAAATGAAGGGTTTGAGTTCCATTGTGCTGTAGGTGGCCTAATTCACTCTTTTCAAACATTTCAGTCCCTGAAGCTAAACAAGAGAACACCTATTGTTTCAGCCTATCCAGTCCCTAGAGAACTACTGTAAACCAGTGGATGAGATGACCTAACTTACACTTTTTGTATGTATGGCTTAGTACTGGACAGATCATTATCTGCAGTGGAATGTGTCAGAATACCCAGGAGTGAAGAATGTCCGTTTTCCTGATGGACTGATTTGGAAGCCTGATATTCTTCTCTATAACAGGTAGACAAAGTTTTCTTTGTGTGTGGGGGGGGCTGGAGGGAAGACCATAGAATTATAGACTTGGAAATATCCCTTTGGATGCTCAACTGCTCCAACCTTTCCTGGAAAAGGGGGTCTACATGAAGTTTTCTAGCACTCTGTCCAAATAAAAAGATAAGGAAAGGTAAATTATATAATCATTTCATCAAAATGGCTAGATTTTAAAATAATTTTCCAAAACTTTCTAAGTGTTTGGAATACTGGAAAATTACCAGTCTCCTGTTCACAGAACAGAAGAACATATTTGCAGATACTTCGTGAATAATAATATTGTCCCTATTACCATTCTAATTGAGTAGCCTTTTATGAGATGGTGTTTAATGGTACGGATAGCCATAATTTTCTCTGAAATTTTTTGGTCTAAATGATTATTAATGAATTCAAATCTGATGTTTGCTTGCTTGTCAGGGTTTAGTTTGGGCTTCACTACAGACAGGAGAGGTAATTGCCAGGAAGAATCTTTGCATTTTTCTATGTTCCCTACAAAAATAGCTGGGATATTTGCTGCTCTCCTTGTCAAATTGTTCTGAGTTGGGCCTATTTCAGGGACAGAAAAATTGCCATCAATCCACTGCAGAACCTTTGGCTGACATTGAGAGATTCTTTGGCTGTTACATGGTAGTTCCCATTGTGGAATTTATTTAGTTCAAAATATAAAACACTGAGAGCTGCCTGTTCAAGTGTACTTGCTGCAGTTGTTGTGGGCTTGTGTGCTGTTGCCCAGGTACTGGACAGAGCTTACACGTGCTCTGTGAGTGGAGCACGGGCTCTTCTGGGGTAGTCTGGGTACATTGTTTTGCTGTCTGTGCAGATGACATGAACCTTTCATCTTCCTGATGGTGTTCTTTCCTTTGTTTCTCTACCATGTGTCTCATAAGAGCACACCCTGCTGTGCTTATCAACCTGATCCCCTTTCCCACTTCAGGAGCTGCTTTTTGTTGCAACAAGACCTAGGGAACAGCTGTTCCCAATGTCAGCTGCAGCTTTGCTCCCCTTTGCCTTTTGGTGAACATTTCTATGTTCAGTGGTGCAGTCACAGGTGCTGTTGCATTGCAGTCATGGGATAACAGCAGCAGTGGCAGCATTTGCCAGGCCCTGGGTGCTTTTCTAGGGCCTGTATTGTGGCAGTGTTTGTCCCAGAGGTGCAGCTAGCACCCAGTGCTCTGAGGGGAGCCCCAGTGCAGTTCATACTCAGGGTAACTGCCTGGCAAGGTCACCACTCACTCTGGTTTAAGCATGGCAAATGTCCACAAGGCAGCCTAAAAACCTCCTTCAAACGCTCTGAACACAAAATGGAGCAGCCTGATACCTGAGACAAGTATTTTTTTAAACATTAATCTTAATGTAGCTTTCAATGCAAATTTGTTTTCTTGAGCAGTTATCTCTAGCTACCTTGATTCAATAGATGACAGGGTTCTTGGGAGAATCTGACAAATGACACCTTCATTTCCATTGTCCTGATGAATGACACACTCTGTATACCGTAAAATTGGTACTCTACAAGAGCAATTTAATGACTTCCAAAAAAATGAGTTTGACAATATTCTTTCTCTTATATATCACACACCTGAGAGAGACTTGCAATGTGCCTAATCATTTAGGCTTCAGTATTTAAGTATATCCAAAATGAAAGGGTAATATTTTAGAAATTAGCAATATTAATATATGCATGCTAACCGTAGCTGGAGTGGTTTATATAATGAGAAAGGTTACAATAACCTGGGATAATGAAACCACAATTTTTTCTGTTAATACAGGTTTTCAAATCTTCGGATTGTTAACTATGACTCAGTCATGAAATAATCATTCTACAGTTTCTCTATTACAAACACATATTTAATCCAAAATCTTATGCAGAGTTTAATCAGAGAGCAAAGCTATTTAAAATAAATTCTTATTCCTGAATGAAATTACATTGAAGGAATATTATGATGTTCCCTTCTAGTGACATGCCATTTTGAGATAGATGCTTTCAATTCCTATGCTTCACTAGGGATATGTATCTGCAGTTACAGGGAAATTAATGAACTATAAATTCACTTTCCATTTTAATGAATGCATGTTCCACTATGTCTTGAGTTCTTACACACTTTGCTGCAGCCTAGTACAGAGAAATTGTGGCAGCTGTATTAAATTTTACATCCAGTCTTTTGTGTGGGGAGAGCAGAGCCAGTTTATCTGTAGTTTTTGTGAGGAAAGAAAATCTAGGCCTTTGTACAAATTCCAGGATTGACTGTGTTAGTGTCATGTGGACTGTCTTCCACTTTTAACTACACTTATTAAAAGTACTCATTTCTGGTGGAATTATTTTGCAAATGGCCACATAGTGTTCTGTACTTAATGGAATAACAAAAATTCTGGAAAGTATGTCTCATTTTAATAGTTTCATTTTCCTAGTTTTATAAACATAAGGTTAGGTCCCAGTGGGATTCTATCTGCTAGGTACAGCTTTGTCATCTCAATCTCCTGTAATCAATATCTGCTTTCAAGTGGTTATATCCTGAAGAGGAAATGGAGCAGAAATGGTTTTCTATCATTACATTACATTTCAGTCCAGTCTCTTAGTGCATTCCCAATAGAAGCAGTGCTTCTCAAAAAATGAGTAGAAGCACAGCATAGAAAAACACACACTCCTTTTTCAGAAAAAAAGAATTTCATATGTTACTCTGACTAGATATTCTTTTAAGAATATGCCTATGAAAGGCAAAGTCATGTAGCAATAAAATCAAGGTTCCTGGATCATTTGTATTCTTGTGAAAATTCTATTTTTGCCAATTACCAGAAACAGCAGCAAGGTCTCAGAATCAGCTCCCTGGTGTTTAACTGCCCTCCACTCCAGAGGAAGAGAACAGAACCCAGCCCATGAGTCATTAATTTCCACTTAACAAGTGATTTGTGTGGCATGGAAAATTTTACATCCTAAATTTGACTATTTATTTGAATTCCATCATCTAACCCTTATTAATTTCAAGCCAAAGCAATTATTTGTCTAATACAGAATGTTGTTGGAGGAGTTTTGATCTGGTTTTCTAAGGAAATGAGACCCATGCACCCATTGTGCATGCACACATGTGTGAATGTGTGTGTGATCTTGCTGCCTCTCTCCCCAGCATCCTCTATCAAATTTGGCAGTGCAACCAGTGGAGATTTGTGCAGCACCAATTTCTTGCAAATATCACAAAAACAGGCAGCCAAGATGTGGAGGGAGAAGAATTAGAGCTGCAGCTGGAAGAAGAGCTGCAACACAAACAGGGAGAATCCAGCCACGAGCTGTGAAGCTGCAGGAGTGGCTCACACTGTTCCATGGCCTTAGAACTGAGCTGCCTTTTGCTTTCAGTGTGCTAGAATCAGGCATCATACATACACAATACTGAGACTTCTCTGCTTCTCTTCAAAGTTCAAATTAAATACTTGGAAGTATTTTCAACACTTGTGAGCCTTCTGCTCACCACAAGAAAAAGTGCAACTCCAGATGGCCAAGTAATTATTTGGATTTCGCTTTTTCTTGTCTGCAAATTTCACAAACCAGCCCAGATACTTTTTAAAATCTAAGATCTTCAAATGCATTAGGGGAAAATAAAGTGCAAGTTTAAAAATGCAAATTAGAAATGCCTAAAATAACAGTTGCTTTATTTTAGCTTCTGAGACACAAAATTTGCATCAGAATAGATCAAATATTAAATTCCTCTCTTCAAAAAAAGAATATTTCAGTAAGGGTTTTCCTGCTAAGAAACACCTTTTAATATACTTGATTTTCTGCTAGAGTTACGAATATTTCACTTTATGACTATCTCATATTTTTAGTCTGTTTTTCTGACAACATCTTAAAAGGTGATTAGAAAATTATGGGATACTAAACCACTAATAGGCAAAGAGACACTAGAGACTTGTGGTGTTCCAATCAATGTGGAGATGCACAGGTTTTGAAAGTACAGATTGCTGCAAGCATCCAGACCCTGAGGCTTGTGTGACTGCTCTGCCCTACCCAGTACAGCTGACTCTGCATTTGCCTCATGTGCCACCCCACCCCACAAGGTGACAGCTTGGAGACTACAACAAACACAGTAGCCTGTGTCTCGTTGTGTTTCCCATATAGAAGTCCTTAAAATGTTAATGCCTGGTAAATTCCTGGGACATAGTGCCGGACAGAATTGAGATATTCCTTGGCAGTAGATGCCAACTCATAATTTGGAGCACTCTCCAAATAACATTATGCTTCTTTTTCTAGAGACTTGTAAGGACAGCACACCAGGGCAGTGCTGCCACACCACTACAATGACACCTCGAATAGGGCTGCTTTTTTTTCTTGTCTGAACACAGTTTGTGGCTTCTGAGGTAGATGATGAAGGCTGGAGCTGCATTACAGGGTCTTACACATGACATGTTGTAATGATGTTCACCCATGCAAAGAGGCAGGAAGACACAGACACTGGAGTATCCATCTCCTCAGTATTCATTAGCTGCTGTTAGCATAGACAGCAAGAGAACAGATTTCCCTGCACTTGCTTGAGAAGTTTTTAAAAAGTGCTTACTTTCCAAAAGGAAATCAATAGAGCCAAGGCACTATAATGAATCTAGTGGGCAGGTGAGTGGCAAGAATGAGGTGGCTGACCTTCACTCACAGATCTTAATCAGGAGCAAACCGAGAAGTATCAGGCCAGTTACTCTGAGGCCACAGAAGACTGATGGCAGGAAAAAAACCTGTCACGTTTTTGAGGTGACATCGCCCTTTTATGAGAATAGATTTGTCACAGATATTCTTCAGCCAGTCAAAGAGCAAATAACCCATTTTGTTTTTCCCGTTCTAGTGCTGATGAAAGATTTGATGCTACTTTTCACACTAATGTTTTAGTCAATTCTTCAGGACATTGCCAATACCTGCCACCAGGTAGGCTGTTTGCATGTCATAAATTTTGATAGATTACTTGTGTATGGTGTGGTTTCAAATATGCCATAAATTCTCTTACATTTTATTTGTTTAAGTAGCATCATCTGATAGATGTAAGCCTAGCTGTATAATGGTTATATGATTAACACCTTTGCATGAACACCATCATAAAAGTTTTATTACAATTATGGAAATTCTTCTGTCATAATGCACAATTTCAGAAGTTTGGAAGTCCTTACTATAAAACGAAGTTGTTTAATAAAGTCATGGTAATGCCTCAATAATTTTTTTATTTCATTATTTTAATGTTTCTTTTCTTAATATCTTAACTTTACAGTAAGATGCTTAGTAGCATCTTGGCTGTATTTCTATTTTAAATGATCAAAACAATTTTTGTTCTGGATGTATAGGAGTGGAGCACTGTTTCTCTTCCCCAGCTCAATTAGCATAATCATTAGCATTAACTCTTCCTAGCATCTGAATTTTGTAAACTACAGCAGTAGAGCCAATGCTTTCCAGACAAATTAGGTTTTCTTCCCAAGATATCCAGAGGGCTTCAGGGGTTTGCTTCTTGATTTAAGATGTTCTCTTAATATATTCCATCTGGTGGGGGTTTTTCAGTTCAGTTCTGAAAGCTGCTGAAGGACAGGGTCTGACTCAACAAGTGAAAAAGAAGAAGCTAGCTTTCCTGAGTAAATCAAGATCATATAAATCTAATAAAACAGCAAATAAATATTTCAGGATTTCGTATGTTTCCAGATTTCTTACTTCAGTCAGTAAAAGAAATAGAAACAGATTACATATTCTGCTTCGTTTCTTCCTGAAATACTTTATTTAGAAATCTGAGTTCTCTGAATATTCTTCCTCTATGTGCCAAAATAGAAGAGTATCTTTAAAAATAGTTAATAACATCAATACCTTATTGGTACAGTTCTTTCACTTCTTTATGACTGACTTTTGCTCTTTACATGTTGAGACAGGACTGAGATTAAATATGCTTTAGAAATGAAAAACAGAAGGCACAATGTAGAACAGGTTCTGGTTGTATTTGAAATTATGTGGAACAAGCATTTAAAGTAAGTGTTCTTATTTAAAATCTCACCTAGGCATATTTAAGAGCTCATGCTACATAGATGTGCGCTGGTTTCCATTTGATGTTCAGAAATGTAACCTGAAATTTGGATCCTGGACTTATGGAGGCTGGTCCTTGGACCTACAAATGCAAGAAGCAGATATATCTGGCTATATTTCAAATGGAGAGTGGGATTTAGTAGGTAAGCTCTCTATTCCTTATTTACATTATGAACTTGCAGCCTTTTCTCCACTGCTGAAATGGATGGAGTAACAACTGGGAAATGAAGACAGAAATTAATAAATTACCTAGCCAGTGGCATTTGAAACTCTTGAGAACAGATCTCAGATGCAAATCAAAATTTAAAAAAAAAATACAATTTTGCTGCTTGAGTTCTGTAAGTATCTTTTATCTGATTTTCCTTTACCATCTGAGAAAAAGTGGGAATTAAGCTTAAGTAGTTTTACCTGGAGTAAAACCTGGAAAACTGCATTTATCTTTTAAAAGACTAAACACTATATAAGTATACCGTTTATTCACATTAATTTCTTGTTTCCTTCCTCTTTTCTCCTACACAGGAGTTCCTGGGAAGAGAACTGAGAGCTTTTATGAATGTTGTAAAGAACCGTACCCAGATGTAACGTTCACAGTTACTATGAGACGTAGGACTCTTTATTATGGGCTCAATCTCCTTATTCCTTGTGTCCTGATATCAGCACTTGCCTTGTTGGTTTTCCTGCTTCCAGCAGACTCGGGAGAAAAGATCTCACTAGGTAAAGTATTAATAGGATATTGTAAATATGACCAAACCAAAATAAGTTGGTTTTTTGAAGTTTCTTTTTAAACAGTCTTAGGCAGGAGGAATAGTTTGTGTGTCCTGTTGTGACTCATGAGCTGTTTTTTTTAGTGTTTGATGCTGAACTAGCAGAGGCATAAACAATTCCTGAGCACCTTCCTTAAGAAGCAGGCTTTCATTTTTTGATATTTATTTGCTGAATCTCACATTCATTAGGTAAAGCTTAAGTTTGCACATATACATTTGAACACTTTAACACTGAATTCTCCTTAATAGTTCTTTTTAATATTGAGTTGTATTAAAAGCCTGTGGTGCTTTCTCAGAAAGATTGATTCTAATTTCCCCTATTTTACTTTTTATAGTGAATTTTAACTTAAGCAATGGTTTGTGAGACAAATCTGATTTTGAGTACTTGATCTTTAAGATGGAGTTTAACTATGTAAAGAAACCTTTTGTCTTAGGCAAAATTCAAATGACTGACTTCTACTAAGTAAACATTGCTGTTTAAAGGTAGAAAAATGACATTTCTCCAGAATATGATTTAATTGAGGAGTAACAGCTTCCTTAAGTTGTGCTTCACCATATTTTAAGATGAATTATTTATTCCTTAATCCTTTCCTACCTGACAATGACGTTTTATTGTTTAAGTCTAGTTCTGAGAAGAGAGTTAAGTCTTTTTCCAGAAAGATGGGAACTCATCTTTGAGCAACAGAAGTCAAACCCCAAAAATCAACAGTCAATACTGCTTGAGCATAATCTCCTGCAGAACCCAACACTAATATCAAAGGATACCAAAGTCTGTCCAAGGCAGCAAATCTGCTTTTGAGGAAATTTATGCATTACATCACCTGTAGCTCCCATGACAATTAATCAAGTGTCACACGCTCAAATACTCAGATTCGCACCATGTTTCTAAAGCTAATACAGTGCAAGAATTGCTTTGATTTGCCTCAGCTAATTAGCAAATGATGATAAAAGTTGAACCACTACAAGGATCTAAAAATATCCATGTCTGTGCAAGCATTGCTATCGCTTTGGCAGCACTGCTACCCTGAACTTGAGGCAGTAGCAGGAAGGACAGGAGTACCACTGACGTGCTGGAGCAGGGTTCCAGTGGGATTGCATCCTGCAGAGAGCACTCCTTCAGATTCATTTTGTTTCTCTCCCTGTTGTAATTACAAACTAGTGATATGATGTCATACTTTATGTTTATCTTTCAGGTATAACGGTTTTATTGTCTCTCACTGTCTTCATGCTGCTTGTGGCTGAAATTATGCCAGCAACCTCTGACTCTGTGCCCTTAATTGGTAAGCTTTTAGTCATTTGGATTTTTTTAGCAAACAAGGTGCAATGACTTTGCACAAAGGCCAGCATTAAGGCAAATCACCAGCTGTACAATGGATGACTGCAATTGAATTAGAAAAATATTGCCAATTGATGAGAGGCTCTGATGGGTGTCCTGTGCTCTGAATGAAAAAGAGAACCTATGTGTATTTGGGGAAAGCATAAGAGAATCAATTTTTCAAGGAAGAATTTGTTCCAGTTTTGACACAATTGGCCAGATTGTGTTCCGTATTTGTAATTCTGATTAGAAAATTGGAATACATGAGCTAAACATAATTAAATCTTCCCACTGTAATTGTTCAAACAAAAAGGAAAACTTTTAAAAACAAGTACTAGTCAGTTTATATAATAATGCTGAAAGAAAATTAGAAGGCAGCCTAACCAATGTCAAGGTTTCTTAGAAAAGGCAGGTACTCAGTTCAACAAGAACAGCTAGACACTGGCTATCCCCTCAAAATAATGTCCAATCTTTGTGCTATTGAGAAATCTTTCAAAAGCACCTAGAGCAGCACTACACTGGAAAAAGAACTAAATGCTATGAATGCGTATATAAACACCCTTTATTAAAGCTTATCAGGCAAAGTATGCTCCTGTAATTATTTCATTATTTTGCAGCTCAATATTTTGCCAGCACTATGATTATTGTTGGTCTTTCTGTTGTTGTCACCGTTATTGTTCTACAATACCACCACCATGATCCAGATGGAGGAAAAATGCCTAAATGGGTAAGGTTTGATTTCCCTTCACTGTCCACTGCATAAATGTCCAGCTCAGGGATGTGATTGAGTACCTAGTGGCTCATGATTTCCTCCAACTGTTAAAAACATATAAATCCTTCCCAGACATTTTGTTTGGAAAAGCAGTTTCACCAGAAATGAGGTGTCCTGATATGTTCCATGTGGTTAGTTTCTTAGAAAATGTTTGTGTGCTAGAGAGAATGCATATACCTCCACTTTCTCATATCCTTCAAAACAGCTACATGCAACTCAGGATTTTGTTAAAACCTAAATATATAAATGAAAGTGATTTTCAAATAAGCTCCAGATGTTAGAAGTGAACCAGGTAGAAGAATAGAATAAGGTACTGATGGTGGTGATAAATGCATGAAATACACTTCTCTCGAGGTGTAGCTGCTACATACTTAGCTGCTGCCCAAACATAAACATCCATAGCCTAAAAAGCTTCTGTTAAAGATGGCTGTTAGAGTGCAATTTACTCTGAAAATCCTGATCTTTAGATCTCTGTTCAAGAGCATTTATAAAGTTTAAAGAGTTGAAGTATTTTTTCTAAGCACATAAGACTTTTCAAATAATGTCTTTCTGTGAGAGGTGGGTTTTAAAGAGAACATAGTGCTGATATTAGATAACCACACGCTGCTGTCATCAGCTAAATGTCCTCTCCTTTGACTTCACCCAGCTCACGGCAGCATCAGGCCTTTCTGAAGATGGAAAGACCTTCCTTCTTTTTTCTCTCTAGAACAATGACTTATTACTAAAAGTACTAGCTGGAAAGAATGTGCATATAGCAGTGCCCTGAGGACAAGAGATAATGAGATATTCCCTGGCTTGTTCTGGGGTGGTGACTTTAAAATAAATTTCAGTGAAGAGAATAAAAGGTAGATCTCTCTAGACGTGTGTTTGATGACCTAAAGGGGACAATGTTTAGTACTGAGCCAAACATCCTCAGAAAACAAAGTACTAGAGGTTGAGGAGTTAGCTGCAGTGTTGAGAAGCTGAAGTCCAACCAACATTATTTGGACACTGGTGGATTTTGGATCAGGCCCTCAATTCACAGAATATCATCCTTCTTGGTAAAGCTTGATAGCATAAAAAAAAGTAACAGGGCAAGATTTGTCTCTGGCTGGGATATTTGCATGGATATAACATCTACTCTGAGTAACAATCCAGAGTTAGAATAAATGGATCAAATCTAATATTAAATACAGGAAAAGGTTTGCATATTATATGATTCAATAATATTTCATTAGAACTCTGAAAAAGAAATGCTGGAACGAGCTCTTAAAATCTGATTTAAATAAATCACAGAAGCTTTCATTTGAAGTGGAACAGTCTCTGGCTTTCCTTCACTTTCTGTAAGGCTGGATTAAGGCAATGTGGAAAACAGTAAAATGATTCAGATGAAATCTGCAAAGTATTTTTTTTAATCAAAGTAATTTTTCCATATTTTCTTCATGTTATATTCAGATCTCTTTTCTAAAATCTGCAACCAGCTGTTGTGAACACAATATGAAAAGAGCCATAACATTTTAGACTTGGTGGTCCGGTCCAGTCCAAAATCTGTTTCAGCAGTCCCACCCAAACAGTAACGGATAGGAATATTAGAGCACAAATAAGAGAAAAAGAATTGTAACTTTAATGACTGCCATCCAGAGCAGTGTTATTAAGACTATTAAGAAGTAACTCTTCTTCAGTAAGAGTTTGGTTTTGTCTAACCCATGGTTTTTAGTAAAGATGGGAAAAGCTGCCATGATGCTGTTCAAGTGTTGGGAAGAATTAACACTAGGGAAACTTCCATGGGAGGAGGGGGTAGTTCCAGTACTGATAGTCAGCCTGAGTATATTCTAGCAGTATCACTGCTAGAATAAGAAAAGAACCCCAGTGATTGGTAAATTAATCAGCTGGAAAACTCCAGCACATTTTCTAGAATGCGGTGCAGGCTAAGCAGAGACCATGGACCAGTCGCCCCAGCGGCTGCCTGAATACCAGCAGCACCAGAGGAACTGGCTGTGTGAAGAGATACTTATTCTCAAAAATTTTCTTTCAGACAAGAATCATCCTTCTGAACTGGTGTGCTTGGTTTCTGAGGATGAAAAGACCGGGGGAAGAGAAAGTGCGTCCTGCCTGCCAACATAAACAGCGTCGCTGCAGCCTGTCCAGTGTGGACATGAACACGATGAGTGGACAGCAATCCAGTAATGGGAACATGCTGTACATTGGGTTCAGGGGGCTGGAAGGGGTTCACTGCACACCCACCACTGATTCCGGCGTCATCTGCGGGAGGATGACCTGCTCACCAACAGATGAAGAAAACCTGCTGCACAGTGGCCACCCCTCTGAAGGTGACCCAGATTTGGCTAAGATTTTGGAAGAGGTCAGGTACATTGCAAACCGATTCAGAGACCAGGATGAAGAGGAAGCCATTTGCAATGAATGGAAATTTGCAGCCTCTGTAGTGGATCGGCTCTGCTTGATGGCCTTTTCAGTCTTCACAATCATTTGTACAATTGGTATTTTAATGTCAGCACCAAACTTTGTAGAGGCTGTGTCTAAAGATTTTGCTTAACTCCTAACTAGAACCTGCTTCTCTGATTGGTATGTAGCAAATAAGAATGTGGAGTCTTTTGATTGCTTGTTTTTAACGAGTATAATGCTTCTCATTGTTCGCTTTCTTTTGCCCCCCTCCGTTCCCGAGTTCCTTTTGGAAGAATGGCACCATTTCAGAAGGGAAGCCAAGAGTTTCTCTCTGGGCTGTGTCTGTGTAGCTCCTCTGAGCACTCTTGTAGAAAATGCCAAGTGGCTGCAAGACCCTTCAGAATGACAGGGTATTGCACCACCACCTCTTACACATGTTTGAACTGGCTGTTCCAAAATAGGAGGTAGGCAATGCCAGAAATGGCACTTGTACTTTTGTTATAAAGGATAGCACAGTCCATCTTATCTATTTGAATGAGTGATTGTAAACACATTGAGGAGAGGATTAAATCCAAATGGCTGCTCAAACAGAGAAAAGGGACAAATGTCTTATGTAGCACTTCAGCTCCTCACTCACGCCCTGTAAGTCCCTCTATGCACTTTGCATACAACAGCTATGACTTGGAGGATTTTGAATTTGTCTGAGACACCAGAAACCTGAAAGTTCAGAGGACACACCACATAACTTGTCCTTCATATCCTTCTGGATTTGACCTAGAAATTTGGCTTGAATTCTAAAACAGACTTCACAGTAAGTGCTGCAGTGTTTACTACTTCTTCCTTCTCCCCAGATAGGCATTCTTTCAATTAATAACCATTTTAACTATAAAAAAGAAAAATGATTGATTTAAGATGTCTTCATTATCACTTGTTTAAAAAAACCCAACTCCTCCACTTGTCTGTTTACTGTTAACTGGATTCCAGTGTGGAAAAAGTAATTCAATGTCTTGTACAGGCCAAAGCATAAATGAAGAATCTAAAGCAAAAAAAAAGCCATTAAATCCCGAGATCAAGGTCTTCATTTCAAAATTAAATCTTTGATCTGTTGTATGCTTAGCCTTTTATAGATCTCCTTCTGTTGAGTCCCCGTAACATTGTCTTTACAAGAAAACTGCACCTTTTCTGCTCAGTCTATCATCAGATGGGTACTAATGAATAATAAAGCTTCTTGCTTCTGATTTAAACTATTAACTGTATAAATATTTATATATTTACACTGCAGATACATCCAAGGAAAGGATGATAAAAACCTGCATACAAATTTTCCTAAGTCTAGACAGACGTTTGCAAAGACAAAACTAGTAGTTCAGCACTTCATGTTATTTTTGGTTCTGAAATTCTCTTGTCAATATATGCTTAGTTTTGATGTTACTTTGATGTCTTAATGAAATGGACTGAGCTGAGAATACCAGGACCTGAAACTTTGTGTGTACAAAAGAGCTGAGAATTAGTCCCTCACTGGCACACCAGTATTCCTAACCAGTGCTAGAAGTGGTAAAAGATGTGGGAGAGGATTAGTTTAGCATTTGTTGCTTCCTTTATCCTACAGAATCCAAATTTTTTGACTGAGGTCTTCAGAAACACAAACAGAGGCCTATTTTTGTACCATATTTTTACTGTGAAATAAACTCAAGGCCTCAGTTTATCTCTTAAGATCAATTAAAATAAAGTGGTAATGCTGATCCTCCCTAGGTAACAATTTCCTTCTGAAGTCTGCTCCCTTGAAAGCAGGAGAATCAAATTTCATGGAAAGGAAGCCCAGAGTCACCCTAGGTACCACTCTTCACCCGATTGAACACCTTGCACAAGCACCTTTGTGCCTGAGATAGGGCAGGAAGAGTGAAAGGGAGGCAGGATATTTGTTTGCAAATTTTGTTTTCCTGAAGATGTATTCCAAATCTCACACTTTAAAGACACAAGCGAAACATTCAAAACTTCTTGTAAGTTCATCCTGAAACCATATGTCAGAATACTTGTGAAGAAGTTATGTTTTCAGAAGCAACTATTAAGACTAAGTCATGTAATAATTCCTGAAAATAGTTTCTAGTTTATAGATTGCATATTAATGGGAAACTATTAGTGCAAACTCTGAAATGTGAGTTTTGTTCAGTTGTGAGTAACTGCACATATCATGCAGCATGTGCTCCTCTTCTGGGTAACCTTTCAAGGCTAGGCTTCCTGATGAGAATGTCGATTTGCATTGGTATTTTTTCCTGCTGCAAGTATTCCTGAATAGCTATGTAGAGTGTTCCATTTAGTCTTTGTAAAGTTTTGGGGTCCTCTTGGAGAATAGCTTTTAAAGAAAAAATTTGATGACTACTTTGCACAATAGGACACAATTATTGCTCTCATAGTACATGATGCATGTGGTAGATGAAGCATGAGAGTCCCCCTCTTTCCACCCAAATCTGTTTACAGTATCTATGGAAATCATCTTTCTAAATGCAGGAGGAGGGAGAAAGCAAGCTACAATTTGACAGTAAAACTCCTCTTCAGTGACAGACGTGTACCCTTAAAAACTGGAGTTCAGCCTTACATGAAGTGCTGCCAGAGTCTGTCCCAGTGGGTGGGTGGAACTGTCAGAGACCTGTGGGTGCTGACGAGGGGCTGTGAGACACCAGCATTCTGCCCACACTGCCTTTAGCGTTGGCAGGGTCAATGAAAGTGCACCAAGGGGACAAGGGAACCCTCATTTTCCTACTGTTGACACAACCTGTAAACATTTGGTAATAAGTTTATTATACATTTTAAATATAAGAGTGATTCCTCCATTATGTTATTTGGCACCTCTAAGTTAAATTTTCCTGTAACTGAGCTGAGCAAAATTGGTATGGTTTTTGTCAACTCGTGTATGTCTTAAATATATTTGTGTATGTGCTAAACAATATTTTGATCTAAATGCTGTGAAAAAAATATTTATTTACAATTCTGGACATAGAGATGGAAATTAAGTACTGTATACAGTATGTGTATATAATATTAAAGTCTACATATTGATGGTAAAGATCTGTTATAATCTTAAAGAGTCCAGAGCGAGAATAAGAAGTGGTTCACCACAACTAAGCTATGACTTGCCTGACAAATTCAAAAGCTCACTCTAGAGCTCAGGTGTCATGTACAATACTATGTGTGAACAATGTATATTACTTTTTCTGTTTTTATATTGAAATGTATTGAATATTTAAAAGACTTTTTAATATTTAAAAAAAATTATTTAAGTGTTAATGCCAAAAAGGTTCCAAACTTAAAATTTTAAAAACTTAGTTTTAAATATAGATTAATTATTTAAAAAGTACTTAAAACATTAAATTATTTTATATAGGAATTGATAATACTATGTAAGAAATTTTTTAAAAGATTTCTTTAAATTCTCTTTACATTCTCTAGCTGCAGGATGTAGTCTCAGTTCACCTGTGACAATTCAATTCTTCACCTTCTGTAACAAGACAAGAAGGTAAACCAAAGCCCCAAATTTTCTTTCCTTTGTTTTACTATTTTTTTACATTAAGAAACATTGCATAAAGGACATTAGAAAGAGATGTTACATCTGTCAGGTACTGATACCTTTTCAGTCTAGTACAAATAAAATATTTAGATCAAGAGACTTTCGATTCTTTTTCATTTTGCTAACATGGAAAAAACTCAAGTGGTATAAAACATGAATAGCCATAAAAGGAAGAAAGATGTCTTTGGTTATATCAATCTGGGATGACAGATTTCTTTGATAATTCAATGTAAATTCACATCCTCCTGCCAACCAGTCCCACACCAAACATCTATTACTGCAGTCTTACATAAGCAATCAAAGAGAGAGAAGGACTGAAATACCATGTAAATTTTGGACTGGCCTCAATTCCAGTATTAATTTAGTTTTTGAAGTTTACCACAGAAGAGAGAAAAAAACCAGCTGAATAAATTGTTGGTTTTACCAGTTTGTTTGTTGGCTACTATTGAAAAAATATCTAATCAGAAGGATGTCCCTCAGAAGCAAAAAGATGCATCATTGTAGTTTCTTGCAAAGAGATGAATTGTCCTGCCCGTGTCCTGAAACAGCCTCCTTTCTTTACAGCACCCTGCTAAGCATGTGCCAGAAGTAAAAGATCAAGAGTTGCTGAACCCAAGACTTCATTCTCTTCACACTTGCCTAAAGTAAGGAACAGCTGAAGGCCAGTTTGGTCCAGGGCACCACACGAGTCACACAAGCTCACAGTTACAAGGCCATAGTTGTTCCTGGCCGTGGCTGTCCCTGGGGAGGAGCTGCCGTGCTCAGTGTCAGATACTCAAGTGAGGCTCGTGCTGGCTCTGCTCACTCTGCCAGTGTGTCCCACCCTTCTCCAGGGCTGAGGAGCAGGACAATCTGTGTCACATTTACTGTCAAACCTCAACAAGTCCAACAGGTGCAGCTTAACACACTGCTGGCACTGTCCATGGACCCACATCACACACACTCCATCTCAGAAGCATCTGTGAGTGGGGATTAAAATCAGAGCACTGTGTGCTCCTGCTCTGGGGATCTGGGTGGGTCAGATGCAGACAGAGCTGCCAGGGTTTAGGAGTTTATTCATGAGCACACCCAATGCCATTGCTCTCTGGGTGGCAATGCCCATCAGAGCACTGGCTCTTGTGGTTATAGAGATTAACATTACCAGCCACCCAGTTTTAATCCTCAGTGTATCAGGGTGTATTTTACTTCAAGAATACTGATTTCTTAGCCTGACCTCATCTTAAAAAGTCAGTAAATCTTCAAAGGCTGTGAACAGAATCTCCACATTACAACAAATCTAACCTGGTAATCCAGCAAGATCTCAACAGCACTACAATCACAAATGAAAGCCTTCTAATGTTATCTTTTTTTTGTGGTTTTTTTTTTTTTTTTTTACTGTTGTTACATTTCTCCTGCTGCTTAAGAGAAAACCTTAGCATTTATGTGACGTTGTTTTTTTCTCTCTATGCCATCATCTGCAAATTGCTTAATAGCATAAATCAATCTCTCATGCCCCAATGATCACATTCAAAACTGCAATTTATTTACAGAAAATGAAAGTATTCTGAAACGTAGCATCAGTGTAAAGACATCACAAATAAATCACTGGGCTTTCAGAGCTGCAGTGACTTGTCCATGTAATGATGCTATACAGGAATAACAGTTTAAACTTCAAAATAATTTGACCTATTTATTTATTTTTACCTTTAAAAACCCTCCAAAAAACCAAAACCCAGCAGGAATTTAACAATTGTGACATGATATAATGCTACTCTGGAAAATGTGTACATGAGAATAACATCTATAGAAGCTTTTCTTTTAGCTAAACAAGGATATAACTCAATGCCTCAGTGCCTATATAAGGCAGAGAAGCCTTTCTACTGAGTCTGAAATTCTGGGATCAAGACCACATTCAATCCAACAAACCTCACAGTTATCATTTATGTATGTCTGGTTCATGGTAAGTATGTAAATGAATAAGAATAAGCCAAATATTAAATATTTATATCAAATTTGTTTTAGGCTAAAAAAAAAAAATCTGCATCCCAGAGCAGGACATCCTTAGAGCACAAAATCCCTAAGACAATATTATCTCTCAGTACTCGTGTATTACTTACAGCCATGAAATATTTCAATAATAACTTCTGTTCTTATAAAAGAATTCCAGTTTGAGATTGCTTTTGCCAGCGCAGCATATTCACTGCTTCCTGTCCTTCTTCCAAATTCTATGCACATGAAACCTAATTGGCAGACTATTTTGATCAGAAGAAATGTTACAGGACTGACATTCAGAAATCCTGTGCAAGTTTAACACTTAAGTTTCCTGACTTGTCATCAAAAATCTGATATTATTATGCCAAGCTGTGCCAGAAGGAAGATGCTTCAATGGGAAGCTCATGCCAGCCCTGCAGTGCACAGATGCCTGGGCAAAGCAGGCTCTCCCATCCCTCTGTGGGGCATGGAAAGTAAATTCTCCTGGTTCTTCTGACTATGCACAAGGACACAATGAGTATATGCTATCTTTACTTATCAGCTAGCAAGATTTTCTTTTCATGACATAACAATGTAAAATACTTGGGAATTACAGGTTGCAATACACAGCTCAATTGGTCTTTTCTTAAGACCATCAGAAACTGTCTTAAACTGGACTAAACTGAAACCAGGTTAACGATAAGGACAGTGGTTGTAGTTCTCTCTTTGCTAAGCACTTTTTAAACCTATGGAAGTTAATCTGCTTCATCTTTCTCTGCAGTGGAGATTAACATTCATATTCCTGTTTGTAGTTAGCAAAGTGGCAACATTGCTTAATGATACTTGACACTTTTACAGTGTCCATATTGTTTACAATTGAAAGGCTCTTGCAGTCAAGAGATTAGAAACAAGGACAAGAAGCCAAAGTATTGTACCTTTTAAAATAAACTGTGAAAGATAAAAAGGGCATATGAAGGACTGGCAGAGGGTGAGTTGAGGCAGGTTTGATATTATCATCAGCAGAGAGATGTGACATGTCATCAGCACCACACCTGCACCCCAAAGCCCAGAAAGCCAGCAGAGTCTCTTTGACCACCAGCAGCTGAGCACAGCCTGTGCTATTTGTGCCAGGTGGGGCTGACGGGGCAGGTCCACACTGACTGGGGACAGAGCAGTCACAGAGGGCCAGGCTTCAGTCTGGGTCCTTAACATACCTTGCCTCATTTGTGACAACTGCACTTCATTTGATGACACACAGAGGTACAGGTCTAGAGCTGGTCATGGCTTGAAGCACCTTTTATCTAACTCAGAGAACTCCTCATTGTCCTCCCCCTATTTCTACATACACATATAAAGTCTGCTCCTCCAGGGAAACCGGGTGATATCAAACACATTTAAAGACTTCAACAAACCTCTGCAAAATATTCGGAAAAATCTATGCAGAGGAAATTTCTGTGTTAGCTCAAAACCAGTATGGTTTCTGTTGCTAAAAACATACTGGAATTCCTTGTTTTCCAGTAGGTTTCAGTTGCAATAATATGCTAGGGCTTTTATTATGCCAGCTGATAATGGAATGGGGGTAGCAACCTTCTTTCTGAAATTTTGAAGCAATTTGTGTGGGTCGAATGAGGCAGAAGTGAAAACTCCTATGGCCAGGACAGCTTTTAGTTGAGCACACTACAGCCTGTCTTTTAAAAAAGCTCACTGTTCTTTGCAATCATTTAATGGATTGCTCCCTGTGCCTAATAGAAGCCAACCCATAATGAATGTCACTGCAGACATCTGAAGTGTCCAGCCTCAGTTCTGATAGACTGGATCTGTATCCATTTATTTTCTCATGCACTTTTCCTAGCGCCCTAGAAAATATCCGGTGTACTTGGAGCAGTAAAACTGGCACAGCAGCACAGTGAGATTTGTGTCTCCATATATTGGCTTTATCATTTTAGCCGTGATCCTATATCAGTGAAAATGACAGGAGATTTAGCCCAGTACTATATACAAACACATCTTCATTTCACAACTTCTGCAAGTTCAAAACCTGTCCCTAGCTCCAAAGACCAAAATAACAGTGGTATCACATCTTTGCACAGGAGGCAGAGTAATAACAGCAACAGAAAAATGTTTTCTCTATGATAAACAATGCCAGAACTTTTTGCATAAAACCAGTATGCCATCTTTCATATATAAACCTTATTTAGATCACTTGGGCTCAGAAATAACTTCATTTTCTTACCTATTCTTTGGCATTTCAGAGATGGCTCTTTTCATGATTGTTTTATCATCAGCAGAGAGATGTGACATGTCTAACTAGAAAATCATAGAATCACTGGGTTGGAAGAGACTTTCAAGATCATCGAGTCCAACCCATGCCCTAACACCTCAACTAAACCATGGCACTGAGTGCCACATCCAGTCTTTTTTTAAACA